AGCGAGAAGAAAGAGGCGATGCATCGCTACAGTGGCGCCAAGTGGTGGGGGACACAAGTGAAGTATCCAGAAAGATAGAGTGTATGTACGGATCTGGTGGCCCATGTAACTTATAACTACTCACTATTGTGTGTATCGGTCATGATGCTACCATTATTTATGATCACATCAGCATTTAGGACAGTACATCTCAGTCAACACAAATCCCACAAAGGTCGAATAGCACTGACCAAGCGTAGCATCGTCTCGGAGAGATCGGGACGATACCGAGCGAGTACTGCATCGACCCGCAAAGGTCGGGTCGGCACAGCGTTGTCCCAGCCTTGATATCGAGCGAGTACCGCATCGACCCACAAAGGTCGGGTCGGCACAGTGCCGTCCCGCAAAGGCCGGGACGACGCCAACCCAGCACAGCACCCACCAAGTACAACGCTGTCCCGCAAAAGCTAGGGCGACACCAGTCGTGCACAGCGTCGTCCCACAAAAGTCGGGACAGCACCGACCGAGTATAGCTCCACCCAGCAAAAGGTCGGGACGACACCGGTCGTGCATAGTGCCATCCCGCAAAAGCCGGGATGGCACCTACCGAGTACAGCGCCGCCCAGCAAAAGGTCAAGACGACGCCTGCCAAATACCACGTTGTCTCGCAAAGGCCGGGATAGCGCTGATCGCGCTTAGCGTCGTTTCGAAATGCCAGGATGGCACCCACAGAGTGCCCCCCGACCCGCAAAGACCAAGATGACGCTAAACCGAGTACAACGTCGACGGTAATAAATAGCCCAGGTACGATCAATCCCCTTGGGGGGAAGATAAAAACCCCTTGAGGGGTCAGACAGTAGGGGTTCCTCTTTGGCAACTCAATACTAACAAGATCTTCGAAGGGGTCAAAGTCGGGATCCCCTTCCCGACCCCGACCCCGACCCGTGTGTAGGGACCAAAGCCCGAGGAGCAAGTGGTCAGCTCCCAGGCGTCCCCAGGTCAGTGAAGTCGGAGCTCAAACCCAACCCGCCATAGGTGGACGATCTTGCGCACCCAGGACCGAACCAAACCGTACGAGCTCGCTCCTGCCACAGTGTAAAGGATCACTATCATTTTGGCGCTAGAAGGAGGGCCCGAGGCCTGCATCTCGATCGAGCAAACTCGCTCCCGAGCCGTGCACCTTGGTTATAAGCCCTTAGCTCCCCTACGAGTGGGAGCACTGATAAGGTCATTTAGTCCCATATTGGTTGAGGAGTATAGGAACCAAGGGCTCATAAGTCCGTCAGGTCTCCCTTACCCTCAAAGGTGCTTTTTGGAGCTCATATGCTCCAAAAAGGATAAAATCGTGCGAGTACGCCTTTCGCCTAAAGTGAACAATTTCTCGCAAGCCTACGGGTCGCACCAATGGCCGACCGACCAAATGATCCCTTATCATTATCATAAAAGAGGGCACCTAGGGCAATTGCAAAAATGCGAGTTCACGTAGCAATCATTTTTTGCTACTTATAATTTTATTTTAAAACTTTTAATATTTTAAAAATATCCCTCGAATGTGAATATCTATTTTCTTTTCTTTTCTTCTCTTCTCCTCGCTGAGCAACAATGAGTGACATCAAATGATGGGTGGCAACAAACGATGGCATGACAATGTTCGCTTGACGGAGTGAGTTTTTGTTTCCTAGATGGCCTAGCATGAGGGGACTCCGTGATAAGTTTTGTACAAATCATATCATTGGATTGCATCTCATCTAGTTAGATTGTGGTAATTTCTACCTTGGATTTTTTTGGAGTTATGTGAAAATGAAAAAAAAATTTCTATCTTAGAGATCCAATTGGTCGGATCCCCATCTTCCCATCTTGGAAATTTCACCTTAACACGTAGATAACTTGTGTCATATTCTTGGGGGTCATTTTCCTATATCTTTATATATGTTTAATGCAGAACTTGAACTTTCATCTTGTTGAAAGTTACTCAAGTTCTCAAATAGGCTATTTTTGAAATCGTTAAAGGTTTCTTGTAATCGGTTCTCAATTTTGGCTTACAATGCTTCAATTTGGGCTTTCATTAAGTTATCGATAGCCATTATGTAAGACTATAAATATGTAATTCTCAATTCTTATTTCTGATGTTTGGTCATGGGTATCAACACTATCCTATTTAGTGTAACTTTCGATGATGTCAACTCGAGGAAACATAGGGGAATGTAGCTAGGATGCGAAGTTGCTGTCATGGCTAGGAAGCTGGCATCGATCAAGGCAGTGTTGAGAGTGTGGCTGGGAGGCAATATTGATAAGGGTCGAGAGTTCCACCTAGAGTCCATCAGGACTTAGACTCTTAATAAATAAATAAATAAATATCAAATGAACTCCTATCAGACTCTTACTAAACTAGATAAACCCAATAAAATATTATTCAAAGCTAAAAAAATAAAAGGATCATAATAGCTATCCCCACTAGAGCCTCATACGAAAAGCGAGTTAAAGTTATTTTAGAATATCATAAGACGAAGCTACCTAACGGAGTGGTACAGATTGAGTACTTGGTGAAGTGGTAAAAACTTTCTTGGATATAAGTAAGTTGAGAGCCTAAAGACACTATGCAACATAAATAAGTAGCATCAAAACCTACCAGCAAGCATTAGCAATTTAAATGGGGGAGAATGTCATGGACGATTGCCGCTCACTTGTAACACATTCGTCGATGGATCATACATATGTTTGACAACATGTTTTACCTTATTTTTATATGTTTTGTTTGAAATCTATAAGCAAAAATAATTTGTAGAGTGATCATACATCATAATGGGCAAAACAATCTTAGAATGACCTAGTTTTCATATGTTATGACTTATTTTCGGTAGATAGTGGTGTCGTGCGAAATGTTAGTCATCTTACTATTCTAGAACCATCTAGGTGGCATAGGACTCGTTGGGGGTTTGGAGTAATGTTAGGTGTTGATTGAATTCATAAGTTCGATGTAAAACCCTACAAAAACTTGTTAACGTGTTCCACACCCGGTGAGCAGTCGCTTGTGGACTTATGACTGTTCATTTGGTTCTAAAGTTTTTATTTTCTCTTTTAACTTTTTTCTCTCTTGCACACCATGTATTTGTTGAATTACTTAAAAAGTTGCCCTCTTTACGAGGTATCAAGATTTGTTTATTGCTCGTTTTTCGAGCCGATCAATTTGCTCTTTTACATGTCCTTTGAGGCTTAAAGTGAGATTACAACTAAGTTGATCCTTTGTCAATAGATAACGTAAATGTGTTTAATGACTTAGGCAATTCCAACTAAATCCATGACAATACAGGAATTTATCCAAGATCGAGATTTTTTTTGAGAATTCACCCTTATTATTTTTAAGGGATTATCAATAGCAATGAGTTGTTAATAGTGAAAAAGGCTATGGATAATAGACTTCTTTATCATATTGTGTTGATGTTATTTTTAATAAATCCTAATTTTACCCTTATAAAATTCTTAAATCAAATTGAATTATTGAACATATCAAATCCCTAAGCCCTCCTCTCTGTCTTTTTCTCCTCCCCTTGTCTCCTCCTCTGATTTCTCCTCCTACTCTACCTCCCTCTCCATTTCCCACTCTTTTAATAGTTAAGAGTGAGGAGACAAAGGTGGGGGTAGATAAGGAGGGGGCGGGAGGGGTGGAAGAGAAAGAGAGGAGAATAGAGAGAAGGTAATGGAGGAAGAGGAGGAGAAAGAAGGGTAGGAAAATGAGGAGGAGAAGGTGGAGGAGGCGATAGGTGTAGAGGAGGATGAAGCAAAGGAGAAAGGGGAGATGCCGGATGTGGAAGGGGAGGAGGATCCAAATTAGTTCCCTGATCCAAAATGACTCAAAACATTATGAGAGTGATCTTTATGAAAAAAAATATAGCTCGAGATAAAAATGATTATGAGGGTGGTCATTTAGTAAAATACAATTATGAGGGGATTCTATTTGATAAATTATCCCAAAAAAAAGGATTGAGATAAATTTTAAATGGAGGGTTGTAAAAAAGAGATGCTTGAGATAAAGACGAAATTTCATGGAGTATTTATAGGTACATGTACATGATTTGAATCAATCTAAATAATATATTTCTTGATTTTACAAGAGATATTTCTATTATATCAATATTTTTTTTACACCTTAAAAGGTATATTTACATCATATCATACAAAATCTCAATTATATAATCATTCATTCAATTTGTACAAATATATTATCATTTTCAATAGGATCTTGAGATGATCTATTAAAAATTTTATTAGCTAAATTTACTGACACCTTAATCACGAGAAGTATCAATTGGATGAGGTATCTGGGTAAACGGAGCATGTGGCACTAAACGGAGCCACCTAGTCCCATTGGGAACAACGTTATATATATATATATATATATGCATATATATATATATAAATAAAAGTCCGGCGAGGAGAGATGCGACATGGTGATGTAGCCTAGGAAACATTTTCATCACTACTTGCGTTTCGTCTGTTCTGATCCCCCTCCACTACAAACAAGCTAAAGTCCTTCACCCCAAATCAAACAAACCAACCCCACTGCAAGTTCGGGCCTTCCAGCTCGTCTCCTAGTGAGATATGTAATGGATCATCCATGCATGGCCTGTTATATTTGGCAACACTCACCCTGTCCGTGTCATTGCTTTGGCAAAATTCTATGGCGTGCTATGGAAGTTTTGGGTCAAAGACAGTAGATAGCTATTTCATCTGCTGTTTGCTTATATAGTACGTCCAAATCAGCGTATAACCTGCGCAGCCGCGCTGGCTTGGAGATGGACATTTAAAATTACGACAAATGGGCTTTGTCTGAAATGGTCCTGAAATCACCGTCTTGCCTTGTCCTCCATTGCTCCATAAAGACAAAAAGAGGAACCAGCACATATAAACACACCACCTTCAGGAATTCTGTGTGTTCCTGTAAGGGCTCCTTTGTGCAAGGTGTCACGCCGGGTTCTCTCTCATTCTCCTTGCACCATCACCTTTGCGAGGAAGGTGGAAGCATGGATGTGATACCAGTGAAGAGTGAGACTAATGGCACTGGAAGGCGATTGCATGGTGCTGCAGTACTGGTTCCATCCAATGGGAATCAAGTGGTAAAGGTCATAAAGAGGAGAAAAAGGGAGCCTACGTTACCACAGATCGGAAGTGATGCCAACAGGGAGATGATCGATCAATCTTCTACTTGCAGCACGATGAAAAGAAGTTCAAGGTTTCGAGGTGTTAGCAGGTACACGAATATTGTGGGAACATCTAGCGACTACTCTTTCAAGTAGCACCACCTGATGATCAGATGTAATAAATAATATGACAACTTTGCAGGCATCGATGGACGGGTCGTTTCGAGGCCCACCTTTGGGATAAAGGGTCTTGGAATGCAACACAGAGGAAGAAGGGGAAACAAGGCACGTTGTTTCAGATTCTACTTACCATTTCCTTCTGCCTTTTCTTTAATTTTATTTTTGTTGTTGCTAACGATTTGTCTGAATTGTTGCTCGATTTGGGACAGTTTACCTTGGAGCCTACGATGACGAAGAAGCAGCAGCAAGAGCTTATGATCTTGCAGCGCTCAAGTACTGGGGACCTTCAACCTACACGAACTTTCAGGTCTGTCCTCTCCGAGGTGTTGATTTTTCTGAGAGCATGTTATGAACCGTAATACTGGATAACAGTTAACGATGGCAGCACAGTCAACCGAATGTTTTGCAATCTCCTAACCGATCTTTCGTCTATGATTATCAAAACATGTGAAACACGCACACACACACACTCTCTCTCTTTCTAATTCATAAAATAGGAAGGAGCATGTCTCGTTACCATCTCCTGACAGCTGAAACGATATCACGTCTAAAACTCACTTGATGTCCAACCAACCATTCTCCCGTTCTGGGCATGAGATTTTTCGCTAAATGATGGGATTTTCCCTGCGTTCCAGCACTCCTAGTACCTCCTCCATCTGATAATACGTGCTAATTTTACAGTAAAGTCTCTTAAGAAAGCACGTACATAAAGTAAAAAAGAAAAAGAAGAAAATGCACATTCAAATATGACAAATTATAATCAAATAGTATTTCATGGATATGATCAACGAATTTCAGATGTTTCCACATCTCAGTGTGAAGAACATGTTGACCAATGTGGCAATATTGTGTATCCAAATTGACTAACAATCCACCCAAACTTGTCAGGTATCTGACTATGATAAAGAGATACAAGTAATGCAAAGCGTCACAAAAGAAGAGTACCTAGCATCAATAAGGAGGTTTGCGCTTTCATTTTTTAGCCATGGAATTCCAGCTCCTATCATCAATATGAATGCCTGCCTCGCTCCTTAACCTACTGCACTTGGATTTAATTATGGCAGGAAGAGCAGTGGTTTCTCAAGAGGTGTATCCAAGTACCGGGGAGTTGCTAGGTATAATTAATTAAATACTTGGAGGCTGCAGAACAATTTCTTCTCTTCAGTAGCCTATCAACATGCATGTACTGAAATCAAGGAGCTGGATATATATATGCAGGCATCACCACAATGGAAGATGGGAAGCAAGGATTGGCAGGGTCTTCGGGAACAAATATCTCTATCTCGGCACTTATAGTAAGTACTAGACCATATCTTTTGATTACTCCCATAATTGCTACCAACTAGACGGAAGGGAACACATGAGCAAATTATCATGGATTACAGGCACTCAGGAAGAAGCTGCCCGTGCTTATGACATCGCCGCAATCGAGTACAGAGGAATAAATGCTGTGACCAATTTCGATTTGAGCACATACATCAGATGGCTAAAGCCAGGTGCCTCCTCCAATGTGCGCAATACTACCGGAGAGCAACATGCAAATATTGATGAATTTTGTGCACTGCAAATCCCAAACAACCACTTCTCAACAGGTCAAGCAGAAGAACACCTGAACTTCAACCCCTTTATTACTGAATACATGAACTTACAGTATAAGCAGGAATACACGGCCGATCAATTCCCTGGTGGTGGTGGTGCTGCTGCTGCTGTTACTGGTTGCACTGGTGCAAGCAGCAAGTCCTCTCCTACCGCTCTTAGTCTCTTGTTAAAATCCTCAATATTCAGGCAACTCGTAGATAACTTCAGTGCGGTCAATGAAGAGTTTGAAGGAGATGGCACCAAGGAAAGGAAACGACTGCAGGGAGAACATGATCAGAGCAATGGTATCTTTTATGAAGAAATGGCAGGTGCACCGTATGTTCGTGATCCGAACGATGAGCATGGTCAAAGAATTGAGCTGCTTCGGGAGACGGTTTGTTGTTATGAGCACAGTGAGCAGCAGACACACTGGAACGGTATTATGAGCATATCGTCGATGCAGCAGCTCAAGTAAGGAAGTCCTCGAGGGAGTGCCGGAGTCTCAGTTGAAAATCTAGACGGCAGTGTCATTCTAGCTGGTCTTGTCGTGTATATCGCCCTCACATCTCCTCCGACTTGTAGTAACCTTAAAAAGCGACGAATAAAGTGCACCATCTCTTGAGAATTCTATCTAGCCTCCTAAAGGCTTGGTCGATTGATTGGAAGAATTGATGTCGTAGGAAGATAATTCGTTTGAAAGGCAGGAATGACCGTTCGGGATGCCAATTGGTCGATGATTGGAGGAGGAGCAGCAACCCCGACCAAAACAAGGGAGAAAAGAACAGTGCTGGCTTTAGGAACGAAGAGGAGCTACTATGTTCCGAGGGCTCCATCCATTAACCAATGATTACAGTTTCCTGCATTTGTAGCTGTTGGAGAGTTTATAGGTTGGACTGGAAATGGAAGAAAAATCAGGTAATGTCATGATAGACGAGCTTCCTCAGCCTGATCTCTTTCCGGATGTTTTGGCTGCAAGCGTCGACCAAGACGAATCCAGGTGTTGGTGACGGTTGTCTTCACTTACACGGTTGATGAGTCCAAAAATTAACTGGATTCAATTTTTTTATATCATCCGATCTGTTCTTACACCTACTAATTTTTTTTTTTTCCAAAAGACATCCAACAATGTACCGATATGTGCACTAGTTGGGAGGGGGAGGTCTTTTTGATAAACAGATAAGATTTCGTCAAAGCAGTTGAAGAAATCTCTAAGCAATTGAGGAAATCTCTGAGCAGTTGAGAAAATCCTCTCGATGCCGACTCGCTGCTTACCTTGTTTTGCAGTGTTCTCCTACCTGAGTTGGCAGCCGCCTGTCATTTCCTCTACCTCAGGAAATGGCGGCACCACCATTATCTCAATCGCTGCGCACCTCGGCAACATTAATCCAAAGCAACAAAGCAGTCACATCCTGCCATAGCCCCGCTACCACTTCCCGACCAGAGTCCACCGCCTCCCCTTGGGTCACAGCAGCAACCGCTCGACCATCCCTCTCGCGGCGATGTCTCCGCCCCTCAACCGCAGCCATTCACTGCAGCCTACTGCAGCACTTGCGGCTGCTAGTATCAGATCACACTCGCCGCAGCAGCAGCGATTGAGATATTGGTGGTGCCGCCGCTGTTGCAGTCGTTGTCGCCACGCCCACTGCATCGACACTTCTTCCGTGGGCAACGCTCCTAAAGGAAGCACAGTTGCAGCCTTTGTTTCTACCGCCGGTTGCTGCTCCCTTGCCAACCGAAGTCTTCCACTGAAAACTCCGTCGCTCTTCCGGCCACTAAACTCCAACACTGCATTACTGCAACTATCTCCAACCTTATAGATTTCTCTAGCATCGCTGCAGAAATCTCTCCTGCATCGCTGCAAGCTGCAGAGATTTCTCCCGCCTTGCTGCAACAATCTCTCCTGCATCGCTGCGAAATCTCTCCCATTCTGCATCGATGCAGAAATTGGTGCAGCCTTCTCCAGCATCGGTGCAGCCTTCTGCTGCTAACACTGCTACAACCGCACCTCAACCCTTAGAAGAGGGAACACCTTAAAGCCCTCAAATCCCAACCACCAAGCTCTACCAGTACCTCTGGAAGAAGCAGCAGCTCTCTTCGGCATTGCATACAGCGACCCTTCTATAGCACTTCTACCGTTCAAAATGTCTTCATACCTCTGCCATTTCATTTTTTATCCCTATAGGGAACCATAGCACTTCTCAAAGTTTTATCACCATCAATACGAGAGCACTCATTCCCTTCAAATTATCCAAAGGTGGCAACTACGCATCTTGGCAGGCACAACTTTCTAATCTTCTATTTAGCTATGATCTCCTAGGTTATGTTAATGACTCTCTCCAGTGTCCACCTGAAATGGTCAACATCCCAGGCGAACCCAGTCTAGTGCCAAATCTAGCCCACAAATTATGGTTACGTCAAGATCGCCTCATCCTCCAAGCTATTTAAGCCTTAGTTGCTGGATCCGTTGCCCCGCTGATATCCTCATTTATCACTACTGTAGAAGCATGATGTAAGAAGCATGGTGCAAGTTACAAACAACTTTGGTAAATCGCTCGCATACTCGCATGCTTGGACTTCTCTCCAATCTGATGAAAACGAAACAAGAGGGAAGTACTATTGCTGATTATCTACAAACTATCGAAGTTATCATCGATGACTTGACTTTGATAGGTCGTTCTCTCAGTAATGAAGAAGTCCTAATCCATACCCTCAATGGCTTAGGAAGCAAGTACAAAGAACTGACAGCAGCACTTCGGGCATGCGACTCGTCAATATCATTCGAAGAACTCTATGATAAGTTGATCGACTATGAGACGTACTTGAAGCATAACGATAGGTTGCTTAGACCACCTATTACAGTTCAGGTCAATAAAAAATCCAAGAGGAAGAGCAACCAGTACAATAAGCACGTCAACAACGGTCTAGCTAAGTTGCCTCCTAGCCCTATGGGGCCTAGACTAAACCACCCTTATCTCTATCAAGGTGGTAACTTTCATAATCCTCAATCGTCGTATCCTGACTTCCCAAGCCACCAACGAGTCGTTTGCCAACTATGTGGTAAAATCGGACACTCTGCGAAAGTTTGTCGGTCTAGCCCCAGACTCCCCGCTCCATCACAGTGGTCTCAAGCGAATTTCATGGCTACTTTAACTCCTACCCAATCTAATTGGATTGTGGACTCGGCGCCTCTCATCACATCACATCTGATCTTTAAAACTTGTCCATCCACAACAACTATGATGGAAATGAAGATATCATCATTGGTAAAGGAATTCCTATTACTCATTCTGGTTCCTCAACGCTTAGTTCACTTACCACAAATTTTACACTCGATGATGTTCTGTGTGCACCTAACATTAAAAGAAACCTCATTTCCATTTCTCAATTCTGTAAACAGAATAATACCTCCATTGAATTCTTTTCAAAATTTTTTCTTGTCAAGGATTTGAGCACGGGGGCATATTTAGTCCAGGGCCAGAACAAAGACAACATTTATGAGTGGCCAACTGCTTCACAAATTACCCTTCCTACTGCTCACTCTTCAGTCGCAGCTCCGGTTGATGAATGACATCGTCGTCTTGGTCATCCCTCCCCTTTTATCCAGCAAAAATTACTTTCTCGTTATTCTCTTCCTACCTTGAAAATCAATAGCACTGTCACTCATTGTGTTGCCTGTCTTTGCAATAAAAGTTATAAACTGCCTTTTGGGACAACCTCCATTTCTTGCTCTAAACCATTTGAAATCATTTATACCGATGTATGGGGCCTTACCCCAATTCCTTATTTTGATAAGTTTTGCTTTTATGTCATTTTTGTAGACTATTTTACTAAGTACACATGGTTATATCCTCTCCACCATAAGTCTGATGTTTCTACAGTATTTACAACTTTTGAAAGTTGGTCGAGAATTTTTTTCAATCTTCCATTAGAATAGTTTACTCTGATGGCGGAGGCGAATATCAAGCCCTCACATCTTGTCTCTCCGCTTGTGGTATACAACACCTCAAGTCACCCCCACATACTCTCCAATTGGTTGGCTCTACCGAACGAAAACATCGGCATATCGTTGAGACTAGTCTCTTCCTTCTACATCAAGCATCCATGCCACCACCTTTTTGGTAAGTAGCTTTTCAAACTGCAGTTTATCTCATTAATCGTATACTTACTCCAGTCTTATAATACCAGTCACCATTTGAAAAATTATTCCACAAGCTTCCAAATCTTCATAAACTCAAAGTTTTTGGCTGTTTATGTTATTCATGGCTCCATCCCTATGCCTCACATAAGCTAACACCATGATTTAAGCCTTGCACTTTTATAGGCTACTCTCTTGAACATTATGCTTTTCGATATTGTGAACACTAAACTAAAAAAGTCTTTATATCACGTCATGTTATTTTTTAGGAGTCTGTCTTTCCTTTTCAAAACAATCCTACTATGCAGGCTACTCCGATAAACATACATCGCTGGAATATACCTCTGATCTCATCACACGAACCTCCCACGACATCGTCCAGTCCTTACCCTCAAGATCCGCATACTACTATTACTCCAATTCAACAGCTTCTCACTCTCTCTATTTCTCCACTTCATTCCTCACAAGTTTCCCCTATTAATGAAGTAATACCCTCGGCAACATTACCACTAGCTTTACCTTCTCCTAGACCTAGTGACATTGATGTGCCGACGGTTGGCCCGGTCCATGATAGTGACTCGCCCTCGACTATACCCCAAATACAATCTACCACTTTCGTCGCCCCGAGACATCCAATGATAACACGCTCCAAAAGTGATATTTTCAAACCACGTCAAGTCCTTGACTTACATGCTATAACAAATTCCTCCACTGAGGCCAGTGAACCCACTACAATCACTTAAGCTCAAAAACTTCTCACTAGCGTAAAGCCATGTGTGACGAATATGATGCTCTCATTCATAACTCTACATGGACCTTAGTACCCTTTCATCACACATAAAATATCATCAGGTGTAAATGGGTCTTTCGAATTAAGCTGAATCCACACGGATCCATTGTCAGATATAAAGCACGTCTAGTCGCCAAAGGGTTTCATCAATGACCTGGTGTTGACTTCACAGAGACATTTAGTCCCGTTGTTAAACCCATGACAATTCGTCTTATCCTGAGTTTGGTCATCTCAAAGGGCTGGCACATATGATAATTGGATGTTAACAATACCTTTTTACAGGGGTCGCTTACTAAAGACATCTATATGTAGCAACCACCTGTTTCGTTCATCCTCAGTATCCGAGGCATGTCTGCAAACCTTAAAAGGCTATTTATGGTCTTCGTTAAGCTCTAAGGGCTTGGTATACCGAGCTTGGCTCGTTTTTTACCTCAATTGGCTTCATCAATTCCAAGTCTGATACCTCGTTATTTATTTGCCAACATAATATATCTTTTAGTGTATATGGATAATATTATTGTCATAGGCAATGATCCTTTGAAGACTCAGG